CTTCATGATGGTTCAGAACAGCCCACTGGATTCAAAGAAGCATATTCTCCCCACTCCCTCACATCTGTAACCACCTGACCCACCAGGCAAAGGGTTTCCACCACACACCACCCTTTCACAGGACAGATTTTTGCCCTGTGTTGTATCACAACTCCATTCTCACAGCTAGAAAAAAAAACCCATACAAACTGCAGCTAAGCAACGCAGAGCTTTCTCCTTCAGAAATCAGCTTACAACCTCTCCAAAAAATGTGGGAAAGCCGTCAGAATAAAAATTTACAAACCAGCCATTTGTGGTGCTGGCATGGTTTCCTTGTGGTATTTAGCTCAGTCCAAGAAAAAAAAATTAAAATAGTTCCTCCAATAGAATCCTTCCCATATTTTCAGCTCTGAGAATTCACAAGGACTCAAGTGGAGTTACACTGACTCTGGAGCCAGCAGATTCTCAGAGTACAAAAATCACCCCAGAAAATAATGAATAATGGAGAGGGGGTTGAGGGAAGTCCATGCATCTCTCACCTCTCAAACTTGCCTGAAAAAAAGAAAATGAGCATACAGCCAGAGCACATCTTGTTTTTGCTCTCCTCATGGCAATAGCTGCATCCTGCTCCTATTTATCCTAAATGGATTCAGAGCCCAGAAAGAGGACAAAAATATGAATTACTTTTTGTTCTTCCTTTTAGCACAGAAGAACCGATAAAGACTTAGAATCCGCTGTCAAATGCTCTGGACCTTTACCAAATCCTTTGCTGTCTTCTCCCACTGAGACCTGCCTAGGTGTCCCTTGGCTGGTGCCTTGCGAAACCAGATGCAACAGCAAGCATGATTCTTCTTTCTCCTTTGATTGTGGCTGCAGGATTCTGCTTCCAGCCATTGATTTCCTCCTCCTTCTCCAGGCTCAAGGAAGAGGACAAGCAGAGACCCTGGCAGCCGTCGAATGTTAAGTAACTGGAAGAGTGGGCTATGCCCTTGGAGAGGATCAGGAGACACGGGAGCCTGAGCCACAGTTCAGAGGAAAAGAATTCACAGCAGAGCATCCCACCAGCACAGCCGTGCTGCTGGAGCCCAAACCCGAGCTCAGCTGTGTCATTTACCCCACGAGGTCCCAGCTGTCAACCTGGCCTGGCATCCTGACAGCCTGAGGCACAAATGCCCTCAGCCAGCTGCTTGGCTCAGGGTACAGTTCTCTCTTTTTAAATGAGATTAGCGTTGGTGAAATGTGCTAGCTCAACGGGCATGCTGATCTAAGTCCTCTGTTTATTCGGGCTACAGCAGATACAATGATCACTTTAAAAAAAAAAAAAAAAAGACACAATTTAAAAAAATGCCATGAATTTGCCTGAGCTCCTGCAGTTGCTCACTCACCACAGAATGAAGAGGGATTTCTCACAGATCTGCTAAGAACTGAGGACTGGAAAGGATGAATCTTGAAACTGTGGTAAGTATTTAAACTTACCCATCTCCTTGAGACTAATGTGAAGAATCTACTTGCCAACAAAAAACCCAACAGATTATTCTGGCTTCCTATCCATTTCAGTCATCAGACACCCCTGCTGCCACCAAGATTATTAAAAAAGAAGCTGTGGGGACGGTCCGGCCTTGGGGACACGGTCCGTAGTGGGGACACGGTCCGGCAGCGGGGACACGGTGGTGGGGACACGGTCCGGCCGGCCAGGGGGGCGGCGGGGAGGCGGCAGGCTATGGAGGCTTTCAGGGAGACCCCTGCAACTTTCCCCCGCGGGGGCTCGGGGGGATGTGCTCGCTGCGAGAGGAGGCAAAACCCATCGTTTTTTATACATAGAAATGGGTGTATATAAATGTGTAAGCTCATATATGTGTGTGTGTGTGCATGCAGATCTGCGTTCCGGCGGACATGCCCCGTCCCCGCTCGCCCAGCCGTGCCCCCCCGGCCGAGCCGCGCTGCGGAGCCCCCGGTGCCCCCCGCCCCGGGCAGGTGGGGCCGGGGGTGCCGGGCCGTGCCCTGCGCTCCCCGTGTGCCCGCGCCGCGCCGCGCCGCACTCACCCAGAACACGAAGGAGTAGATGATGAGCAGGGTTTTCAGACACGTTATCACGGGTTTGGTCTCCATTCTCCTCGATGCCATAATACTGAGATCCCGGCTGCAGGCTGGGCGCGGGAGGAGGCGGAGGAGGAGGGAGGGAAGGGGGAGGGAGAAGGGAGCGGGGGGGCGGAGGGAGGTGAGCTCAGCGCCCGGCTGCCGCGGCCGGGCTCACCGCGCCTCCTGCTGCCGCTGCTGCCGCCCGGGGACCCCCGCCCTGGGGACCCCAACCCGGGCACCCCCGCCCCGGGCCGCCGAGGGCAGCGCACACGGGGCTCGAACGTCATCTGCAGGGTGACATTCACTGGACGATCTTGGGGAGGGGGGGAGTTGAGGTTTTGGAAGACGAGGTGAAAGCCCCCCCCTCCCCCGGCCGCCCCGTTTTCTCGGGGAGATGCTCGGGGGCGTTGCTTGGGCTGCTCAGGGGCTTGGGGATGGAGGCGCTGCGTGGTCGGAGCTGCAGAGGGAATTGCCCCTGCGGGAGAAAACATCTTTCAGTGTCACGATTAAAATGTGTGTTCCTGCGCAAGCTTCAGAGCTCTGGAGACCGCAGCAGGGGCAATCAGCACAGGTTTGACGGTGCTCTGGTCACAGGCGCGCAGTCTGGCTGAGCAAGGCTGCACCTAAGAGCAGGAGCTCTGCACCGAAGCCATTTGAGGGACCGGGGCTCCTCCAGCCCTCCTCCTGTGGTGTGCCTCTTCTGCAGCTCCAGTGCAGGTGACTGTGCAGACTGTAAGAGCTGTGACCTATGGACGGTGCCTTACAAGAGCCTGGCCCCTGACCTTGGCTTCATGTCAGCCTCGAATCTGAACTCTATGCTAAAACCACTGTGGGCATTGAACCCCAGCTGAACTGATCAGAAACCTCATACTTCTATGTCTTTGAGACCCTCAGCTTGCTGGAACAGAGCTGGCTCAGCTCTGCCTGGAGTGACAGCACACTCCAGAGAGGGCACACAGCTCCCGAGAGAGCCTGCTGCTCCTCCTTGTCACCGCAGCCACCGCTGGGGAGTCCAGCAAGGGATGGACAGCAGGGAAACAGCCGAGCTAGTCTGGGGATGGAAAAGGAGCTGATCCTGCAGAGCCCTGGCAGCAAAGCAGTGGTGTGGGTCTCACCAGCCTCCTCTGGGTGGGGATAAAAAAGGCTTGTGGGCTGGCTGCCTCCAGGAGAAGCATGGCCAGAATGAGGGCACACATGTGCCTTGGCAGCCCAGGCTGCTGTGCCTAGACCGTGGGCAGGCACAGAGGGGATGCCTTCAGGGTTTTTTCTGTAGTTCACATTTTGGAGGAGGTTATGTGTGCTCGGGAGTTGATGCTGGAGCACTGCGTGTCCCTCCTCCTGAGTGGTGTGCCTGCACACAAAGCAGGGACCTGAACCATGCCTTTAACTGCATTAAAATCAAAACAAGGTCAACACTAAACAGTGAGTCTCCTCAAGCTACAGAAGTGATGTAGTTTGTGCAGCTGAGGCATATGAAAGTGATGAAACAGCCCTTGCCATTCAAGAGACAGTGTTTGAAAAACAGAGAGAAAAAAATGGTTCCTGAGCAAGTGCTTTTGTAATATGCAGAAGTTTTGCCATGAAGACTGATGCAGGATTTTGCTGGGTTTAACTTATGACTTTTAGAGATGTTAGCCTACTGTTTCCCAAAACAATGAAGGCATCTAAAAGATGCTTGGAGAGGGAGTATTCTGCAGGAGAAACTGGGGGTTTTTTAAGCAATCACCACTTTTGTGGAAAATTCAAATGACAGGTGCATAAATCTTTATTGGCTTGGCCATTAAAATGTAAATAAGTGCACTAACTGCAAAAAATTGTATTGACACTAACAACAGTTATAAATATTCACTGTACAAAAATTACACTAAGATTTTTGACAGAAAATAGCTCCGAGCTGGAGAATTCTCTTCCTCCCTCTCACACATGGGCTGTAGAAAAGACAAATGCTGCTGTCACAGCCCAGGGGACAGCAGCCATTTATTTCAGTAGCTATAGTTATACTTCCCCTCCCCTTCAGGTGTTTTTAAGAAAGCGTGAAACAAACTATAATATCAATCAGAATGGATATTTTGGTAGATGCTGATTTTGACAAAGACTCACATTTTCTGCCAATAGCATGTGATTTTAGGTCACTCTGTCCCATAGTGCCTAATTTGGGATACATCCCCTGAGTCTTCCCAGAAGGATGTGCTGGGGGTCTCAACTGAATGAGTGCCTACAAAGCCTCCCTTGACAGTGCTGTTAAAACTCATAGGATTTTGCACCAGGGAATCAGAGAGAAAACAGAGGTGCAAGAAGAAAAGTCCACATCAGGAAATACAGCTGCTTTCTTCACAAATGTCAGGCCCTGGAGGGGATGATGTCCTGAGGACTGAGAACAGAGGCTCCATGACATCTCCACCTGAGCCTACAGTCTTCTCACCAGGCTGTCTTTGGAGGAACTGTGAGTTGCTTTTTGGCATGCAGTCAAGGAGGATATACTTTATTGGATGTAGATGCAAATTTTGGATTAAAAATGAGAATGTCTGAACAGAGCTGAACAAAAATCTGCCTGATTACAGCAAATACCATTAAAATATGACAAGAGCTCTGAGCCATCAAACATTTTAGGCTTAAATGGAATTACTGAACAATTGCTAGCCTTTATGTGTGGCTTGGAAACACATCTACCTTTTAAAAATATTTTTATCATAGTTTTGCAGATTTGAGAGGGCAGATTCTCAAGTATTACTTGAACAAAATCAAAGCAAGCCTTTCTAAAGCAAAATGCATTTTCAGTTCTGTAATCCATGTTTGCAAAGTTGGGAACATAATTGCTCTTCACATCTTCCCACAGAGAGAACATTCTTGTAGTTATTCAAAACAGGACATTTTTGCCTAACTGTGTCATTTGAAAAATATTTCTTTAAAACACTGTCAGTTTGCAGGGGTTTCTTCTGTAATCTGTAAGCTTGTATTTCTTCATAATGCACAGGGAATATTCTGTCTTAATAAGTCTGTTTGCCAAGCATCAGTCTAGAAGGAGCTCCTTCATCCCTTGGCAGAGCACTGAATGTGAAAATGAGATCTTCCATCCTCACCTGAAGCTGACTTTGGCTTTTTAATGGGTAAATAACTACTTTCTGGGGGTAGTGGAGGAAAAACGTAAAGGTTCACACCCTTCTGCAATTACAGCAGGTGAGAAATGTGGTGCTTTATTTTCTTCATGCCCATTCTGGCCTTTTGCGGGTTTGCTGTGGTGCTGTTGAATGTAAAGGCAGCAACCTCTGCTATCCTTTATTGGGCATTCAGGTTATAATCCACACTCACTTCCCGGACAGCAGAGGTTTGAGGGGTTTTTTGTCCTTTTCCCATTCTCCCTGTCTCCATGTGGTCTTGCAGCGGCTGTCCTCAGCTGGCAGAGCCCGCAGCCTGCATCACTCCATTGCAGACTAACCTCAGCCTTTGTGCCAAAATGCAGGAAGCAGGAGGAAAAACAAGTGTCTGATAATTTTGCTGCACTCACGGGCCACAGGTGAGTTCAGGCAACTCTGTACAGGTCCCACTGACACTTGTGCATCATGCACAACTCAGCTCTAAAAAAGCAGAGCTCTCACAGCAGCCACATGGCTGGTGGCACATTTGTCACATGGCTGCTGGCTGCATGCTTTTGGCAGGTGCATCAGTGGGACCAAGCTGCCAGGCCCAGGCCCCAAAATGTGTTTTCTAAAGATGCCTCAGGCTTCCCCAAGGAAGAGATGTGGGGTTTCAAAAGCAGTGCCAGAGAATGATTTGCCAGAAAAGAGCCTATAAGGAGATTAATGTAGTGTTGACAAAGTCAGCCAAGGTATTTCCATTTACCACAACCTGGAAGGAAAGGCCCAGTCTCCTGCAGCACAGGCACAAGGAGCACATACAGACATCAGCTGCAGAGTTTGGCAACAGGTATGAGTTGCTAGGATGAAATTCATATTCAGCTTGTTCATTCAACATAAAGGGCTCATGGGATGCCTCTGCAGTATTGAGTGCTGACCCTGATGGGCAGCAGTACCTATTTGCAGAGGAAGCAGCAATGCTAGGAAACTTTCTTAAACCTTTTAAGAAGGTCTTTAATATGCTTTGTAGGAAGTACCTCATGCTTTATGAATTATGCTTTAATGTTAGGCCAAAAAGATGTGTCATTTATCACATTTCCCTTCAGAGTGGGCATGAAATATCTGTCTTCTATCAATAACTTTGATACCAGTGAGCTTTTCATAACTTTTCATATTTCTCACAAAATGCCTTGATTTAAAGAGGGAAGTTTATAGCTGTTTTGTAGGCAGGTACTTCTCATGGCCTGTGATGACTTTTCTGATTACTCCAAATGTAATGTGAGGTGTCCTCTTGAAGGGAAAGGAACAGAAATACAAAGTTACAAAATACAAGAACTTGTGACTAAGCATAACTACCATAACAGGAGAAATTAAGATCACCAGCATTTACAGAGGAAGGGTGGAGGACTTGGAAAAGATAAGAGGTCAGAAAGCAGAAAAATACACAGAGGGCATATAAATACACAAAGAGCAGGTCTATGTTATTTCAGGAGAGGCATTATTACATCTCCAAATGATGGGAGTTTTGACACAGCAAGAAGAATGGAGCCATACAATTTTATTATCTTCATCTATAGCAATAAAGTGACAATTAACCCTGCACATTTGCCAAGTCATTCAAATTGGTTTGTCACACTGTATTTTCTCTGGTTTTTTTTCTTTTCTTTGTAGTTGTGAATAACAACACCAGATTCTCTCCTGTGTGTCCCTGAAATACCTGGACATTTTCTGAAGGTCAGTAGATAATCTTGGGAGGAATTAGATAATTTCTTCTTCAGGAAAAATCAATGTGAGGGGCCAAGAAACGTCTATGAGGTCCCCTTCCTCCATGGTTTTCTGTTATTTAGCTTCTGTCAAGGAGTGTGGTTGGGCTGCACTGAGTTAAACTGTGAACACCAAAGCATTCAGTTCTGGTTGTATTTTCCTCCTTCTCCTTTCTTGACTGTGCCATGATTTGTTTCCAGTAGATTTCTCTTTTGTCTGCCCTAAAGCAAAAGCAGCAGAACTCGGCCTCGTCTCCAGCGCTGGCAGAAGTTACCCATTGTCATGGCTGGTCTGTGAGAGTTTGCATAAGAAACAGGGGCAGGAGAGCAAATCCCAGCTTTTCTGTTCCGCAGCAATCCCCAGTGGGACAGACACGGGCTCCTGGCTGACGTGGGAACGTCTGGCCCATGTCGTGTGGTGTTTTCTGGGCTGGGCAAGACGCTGCTGAGCCTGGCACCTGCGAGGACCTGCCAGGTCCTGGACCTTGTCTCTGACAGCAGTCACAGGTGGCACATGGGGGAGGACCCTGACTCTTCCTGGGGTGCTCCTACTCCTGTTGCCCCGGCTGCAGACTCTGGATTTTTTGTGTCAGCCATAAGAGCTCGGCAACAAGAGTGTTCACATCCTTTCAGCAGAGACCGCTCCAGTTTGGAAACAGGTTTGAGAAAACTTCATTTTCCCCTGAGGCTTGCTTTTCCTTGCATGCATCTCAGGTCTAGTTCCATAGCCTAAGTCTTGTGCAGCTGTTTGAGCAGAAAGGGAATTCTGGATGTCCTCAGGGATGGGCAAAGCTCAGGTGTGAGAGAGCTGATGGAGCACGGGCAGCATGGGTGCTGCTGAGGGAGTCAAGGTGTGGAAGGTGATAGTCCAAAGGACAATGTGGGGAGCATCACAGAGGCTAAGGGAACACCAAGAGCTCTTTAGTAAATAGCCATGCTCAAGGTAAAATTAGTAGATAATATATCATGTACATATCATAATCATATCATGTACATAATTAAAGGAATTTGAGGTACACTGCACAAATTTTGATCCAATGTGTTTTCTCTCTATATGGTGTATAGTTTTCCTTCTCCTCCTCTAAACAATGGTTCCTCTTCTTGTCCTCAAAGGACAAGATGACTGATTTTTAAAGCTGCCATGTACCTAACAACAATTTGTTAGTGATGAAAAGAGAAAAAATGTCAGCAAAATACTAGCATGTTTTAGTAAATAGGATTATGCTGTATCAAGCAATAACATTTAAAAAAACGATTCATTACAGGTAAAGTGTAGGACAACAAATATTAAAACAACCAAAGAAACAAGACTGATACTTAAAGTGCATCTTTTGCCCACATCAGTGCCAGTGTAGGCAAAGTTCTTGTTTTTCAAGGACAGCCTGTTGCATGTAGCATACAGGTATCTCTTACATGAGCACACAAAAGCTCTGGCTCCAGCTTAGAGGTCCAGCTGCTCATTGTGGAGCAGATTCCTGCCCTGTGATGCTGGGGAATGGAGCAGAACTGCTCACTCAGACCCTGCTTGTTTCTTGCCTGAGCTGGGAGGTGGACAAAGCAGCTCTTCTTCCCTTGTGCAGGATTTTCTTGCTTTGTGCCCACATCCCTTCCTTCTGGAGGAGCAATCTGTTCCCTGGAGACACCCACTGCTTGTCCCTATCAGGCTCCCTCAGTGAGCAGCCTCCTTTCCTCCACAGCCATCCAGCAATTCCCTGAGCCACTGGGTGAGGAGCTCTGCTCCTCTGACACAGTTGTGTCTCAGTTTGTGTCTGTCTGCCAAGCACAGCCTGTCTGACCCTGAGCACACCCTCCTGACCCTCCTGGGCTCTGGACTGCTTGGGCTTGGGGCCAGCTGAGTGAGGGGTACAGGTGTCCCATCTTGAGTCAAGCCTTAGGGAAAACGCTCTGAGAAGCCTTGGTGGAGATGGAAGGGCTGCCCTTCTCTCTGGAGGAGCTTTTAGGCTGGGCACTCTGCTCATAATGCTGCAGCCACATTGCAGCCATGCCTGTGGCCATGCCTGTGCTCCAGCTGGCCACCCACCCGGGATGGACTCAGCTCAAGGAATGCAAGAAGGTCATGCAGCTCGTTCACAAAGCCCCCTGGCACTGGGAACAAAGCACTGTGTGCTTGAGCAAAAGGAGGAGCCCAGGGCAAAGGGAGGTGTACAGGGAAGCACCAAGACATCTTGCTTCATGCTCCCCCCATCCTCCTTATGGACACTGGTGGATAACTCAAGAGGTACCTCCTCTCCTCTCCTCTCCTCTCCTCTCCTCAGGCACAAAGGGTGCCTGCATTTCTGGCCTCTCACACTGGGCCTGATGCATCCAGGCTCAGACTGGAGACAGACAGATTTTTAACTAACAGGGAATCAACTAGGGCTTTCCTTTTTAAGGATGCATAATGGAGGCTGATAAAATTTTTATTGATTTATTGCCTTTGAAATCTCTGATGTCCATGTCTATCCTAAATTGTATGTATTTGTTGAAATTTCTTTTTCTGGACAGCCCCGAGAAATATACCTGTATTAGACTGAGTTAACTCAGGAATTGAGATAAACGACAGTTTATTGACTCCTCTGAAATATTTTTAATGATGTCACTTGTATTCAATACTCAATTTCACATAGCAAAAGAAAATATAAAAACGGGGCTGCATAAGCCTCACCACAACCACACACTGTGGAAACCATCTGTGAAGAACCCCCCTTCTTTGTCCTGCTCTCCCTGGAGCTTCTGACCCAAGAAGCACAGGTCAGTACCAGAACATCCCACATGTGATAAAATTTTTATTGATTTATTGCCTTTGAAATCTCTGATGTCCATGTCTATCCTAAATTGTATGTATTTGTTAAAATTTCTCCTTTTTCTGGACAGCCCCGAGAAATATACCTGTATTAGACTGAGTTAACTCAGGAATTGAGATAAACGACAGTTTATTGACTCCTCTGAAATATTTTTAATGATGTCACTTGTATTCAATACTCAATTTCACATAGCAAAAGAAAATATAAAAACGGGGCTGCATAAGCCTCACCACAACCACACACTGTGGAAACCATCTGTGAAGAACCCCCCTTCTTTGTCCTGCTCTCCCTGGAGCTTCCGACCCAAGAAGCACAGGTCAGTACCAGAACATCCCACATGTCCTTGCTGTCATGCTGGCCTCATGGGTGAGGGACACAAAGCGTGCCCTCAGTCCCAGTGACACTTGTGTGGAATGTCCCTGTGGGGAAGAAGAACTCAGCAAGTCTCTTACTCATCACTTTGGTGCCTGAGAACCTACAGACTTTAGAAAATGAAGTCTCTCTGACTGCCCTCTTTTTCCATTTCAGTGTTTTCCTTCCACCTTGCATTTTACAGTCCTCCCAAGCCCAGCCCAGCCTGCAGACCTGCACAGGATTTTTATCCCTCAGACCCCCTTTGGGGAGGTTGCCATGTGGCAGTTCCATGATGTACATAAGTAAAGGAGCTACGAGGACTGCACAAGTCACACAAGCCCAAACTAGATTGTAGACTGCCTTTTCCTGGGTTCTGGTGGCTTCACAAGCACAGCAAGGGCCTCCAGAATCCTGATGAATCACTGGCATGGTGTTATTTCTGTGCAGGACAATAAAGACACAGGGTGGGTGCACCAGGCAAGGGGTACCATAAGGAAAGACTTCCCCATTTCCATGCAGGAATAAAAGAACCAGGCACACCTTTCTGGGATGTGTTTTGATGCAGGATTTGGCATTTAGTGCCTGGATAACATTACTGACATTCAGAGCTTTGCTGTAGTCAGTAAAGTAGTATCAAATAAAATACAAAGTTCTGCATTTTCTTTCTCCTGAAGATTTTTCTGTCAAATTGGGTCAACTTCTAAGTAAAGCAGGAGATCATTTTAGTCTGTCAGCACTGCAAAACTAGCATGGTATTTGAAAATTACTTGTGTGCTTGAAAATTATGTGGACTCTGGATTTGGCAGGCAGTACTGTTTAAGATCTAATGGTATATAATTCAAAACCTGAACCTTTCTGCTTTGCTGAGCTTATCATTATTTTAGCAAATGTTTGTTTTGGTGGGATCTTGGGGGTAATATGAGCAAATGAAAGCTCCATAATGATATTTTTCCCAATACTGAAAATAAAAAATAAGCCAACATCCCCCCAGTGTTTTAAGTAGCAGAATTTTCCACCTTTATAAAAATTCTATTATAGACATGGAAACAGATAATGAAACTGCTCTGCCCAGATCTGCAGGGGAATCAAATAGATGGCAGATCCCACTGCAGTTTGGATGAAGATTTCATAGCTAGATAGGCAAGAGAATAGTCAAGGTCAGTGATGAGGTGAAAATCATGCCCAGATTTTTTCAGCTATGTAGCATGTACAGCCTTCTCATACATTTAGAGGAAATGCACCAAACCCAGACATTTTTTTCACAACGAGGAGCAAATACCCTTAGTGTAAGACAGTATTGCAACAGGGAAACCATGTGCTTGCTCAGTGGTCATTTCTTAAATTAAAATTAAAATTTAAACTATTTTTTAAAATTTTTGTATGTATATGCTAATATGTAGTTTTAAAATTCAATTAAATCTGAAGGTGGTCATACACCAGATTGTAAATGATATTATTTGTGAATTTTGGCAACCAAAATGACTCTCAAATAAGGGTTATTGTTATTCAATCAGTTCTGGGACCAACATACATGTAGAACTCTTGGCAGATGATTTTTTTCCTCTGTGCTTCTGTCTTTTATGCCCTCACAAATGTCTGAATTGAGAAGTTATGGCTTTAAATGGAAAACTTCCTCCCTGATTTGTTGTGCTCTTTTAAAAACAAAAAGCCCAAGCAATCTTGTTTGTGATACACATCAGGCTCAGCTACACAGATCTGGAGGCTGTATTTCTCTCTTGTTTATGTCGTTAGTCTGGTTTTAGTTAATTTTAATTTCCAGATGTCTGTTGAGCATGTTAGGTTGGTTTTTTTTTTCTTGTGGTTAGCAGGATATAAATTACCTTGATAGGACAGAGTTGTTTGCTCTATTTTACTTGTTTAATTTCTGGATACGTTTTACTGAGCCTGATCCCTCATCATCACAAAATAGATTTTACTGGCCTAGAACATAGATTTTACTGCAGTTATTTACTGGCATGAAATACGCACAGCTCAGTGAAGAATCACACTTGCAGTCTGGGTGCTTGTTTTTTTCTGTCATTAAAAGGGCACAGAGACCTGCTCTGGCAAGGGCTGGGATGAGCTCTCAGAGCACTGAGGAGCACAAGGACTCCAGTCAGCCTGGCTGAAAGAACAAAGCTGTGGGCTGCAGCCAGGGATGCTGGCTCCTACTTGCTAGGCTGGGATATCACCTAAGGTGGCTCCGTGTTTAGTATCTGCCTTCTGTGAGAGGCGAAGGTTTTGGTTTTACACTGGAAGTTTTATCATTTCCAGTGAAAGAGGTGCTGTAGAGCAGCAGCTTTAGACCTGCAGTGGGGTCTCTGCCAAGCAGATCACTCCTGCACTGCATCATCTTCTGCTGAATCACTTCTTGTCCTGAGGTTTCCCTCCGAGGGAACAAAGGACAGTGCCAGTGTCCAGGCAGCTCCCCCAGCTTTTTCCCTGCAGGAGGGTCTGAAGAGGGGCGTTTGGGGTGCAGTGGTGTCTCTTGTGCCTTGATGGACTTGAGCAGAGCCCCACAGCATTTCTCCAGTTTCGGGGGGATCGGGGGTGTGGGTATTGCTGGGTTATATAAGGCACTGCAGCAATCAAACACTTCCTGCTGCTTTCCCAAAGAGCTGCTGCAGGGACACTCGCGCCTTGCACACAGGGATCCCAGGGCACCTTGTGCTTTCTGCTGGAGCCTTTGAGAACTTAAAGAGGTGAGACCCAGCAATCTTAGAAAAAGCCTGAGAACTGCTCCTCCAAGAAGAAAATCTGAGTGGCAGGGAATCCCCAAGCTTGTCCTGTGCTGCCCTTTCCCCATTGGGAGCACAGGGGTAACTAACATTGAAGTCCAGGC